TAGCATATTAGTGAGGCCCTAAGAAACTTAGAGAGAGCTTGTCTGAAAATAAGAAAAAAATTTTAAAAAGGTCTGGGGATGTTGTGGAGTGGTTAAGCACCTCTCAGTACCCCCCATCCCAATAAAATGTTCATTGTAAAATAGCAAAAACATCATGCCATGGTACAATGGCAGAAACATCACATACCTCATGTTTACCATGTGCCTTTATTGCATCAAGAGAGGTCACCCTGATGGCTAGGGTTGTAGTTCAGTGGTAGAGCATTCACCTAATATATTTGAGGTCCTGGGTTTGATCACCACCACCACAAAAACATTTAAAAAGTGTTGAAGGAGTTATGTGGCAAAACTGACCTGTACCATCTAGGTCTGTGCTGAGACACTATGTGTTTCAACAAGGATGAAATTACCATACATTTCTCAGAACATGTCCCCCTGTTAAGCAACACAAGACTGTACCTATTGAATCTGAGGTGGCCATCTGGCCAAGAAATCATATTTTAGAATTTAAAAAGAAATATCAAGCAGAAATTTTCTATATAAAGGGTATTGCTGGGTTTCTTTAGGGATATATTAGACTCTTCATATATGATTGGTTCATCAAAATTACAAAGGCAAATTTTTGATTTAGGTCAAGTGCCCTTATTGATGGCTGCTCCTGTCATTTAAAAGTGTGACTTGACTTTAGTAGGTTGGAAAACCAAAATGGCAAACCACAAAGCCACAGAGAATCTTCCATTTGGAAGTACACTTCTGAGTTCCTGGAATATTACTTACTAGTTTTTTTCATGGTGAAGGTACTAAATGGAAAGATTCTTGGGGGCAGACGCTGTGTCTGATCCATCTTTTAACCACAGAACCTAAAACCTACTATGACATTCTTCTTCCATGGTGATGAGAAAAGGTTAATTAGTGGCAGTGTACAAAGGAGACCGATTTATTTGATGTACAGCATCGTCCTGGCCACAGGCAAAGAGGTATGAGACCTCTGTGTTTATAGAGTTGACAAAAATCCAGAGCTCAAAATGTTAATGTAATGAACAAGACCCAGTCACTCCTGCAAGAATAGATACTGTTGGTCCAATGTTGCCATAACATTGGCATAAACCAATGTGTCCAGAATTGACCCATGTATGTTTACCTCTTCTCCCACATCCGGGTGAGGCTGGGGAGGCAGGGAGTCTGGGAGGAAGCAGGATGGTACTTCCTCCTTTCCCAAGCCAGGGCCCATCCACTGCCAAAGCCACAGCTGAACAACACGGGTTCCTCACTAACTTTCTGTTTCTTCCCATTCCCTCTTCATGTAGCTTTTCAACTTCCCTTAAAGCAGGAGCAGCAATGGGCCTCAATATGCAGTCAGCTGCTTCCAATTGTCTCCCAATAAATGACACACTGTGGAAGGTGTTTTACAGCCTGACTTGTTTATAGAGCCAGACTTCTCTGTAACAAACCCAAACAAGGCAATCAAGGTTAAAACAAAATCACAAAAATCTGAGTTATATAAACATAGAACTCTCTTCTACAAAAAGAAGGAGCTGGACCATCTATTTTTAAAAGTGCCTCCTGATTCTAAAAGTCTAAACTTTACAGCAGGATCTCCTTGTGAAGGAAGAATACACTGCTTTATACCTGATCTATTGGAGTTTTCTTCTATTGGTGGACTTAGTTTTTTCTTCATAGATTTTATTAAAACAAGTGAACAAATAATACAAGGATAATTAAATGTGCTCATTTTCTGCTTTCCAGGGATTCAGGACTGAATAATTTGTAACACAATTTAGGGTTACTCACTTAACACCACTATTTTAAAGGTAATAGTTGTCAGTAAGAAGCTGGGGTATGCATTGTCAGATAACA